TATCAGAACTATACTTAGCCATCAAAGCAGCCCTGGGATGCTAGGACTCTGCAAATTACTTTTCTCCTTGATCAACAAGCAGGGGGTGCTGGAAGGAGATGCTGAAAGGTAGGAAGATCCCAGAAGACACTTGTTCTTTCCTTTTGCTTGCTGTTTTTGTGAGCGTCATCTGGCCAATAGCCCTTTGTTCTGGTAATTGTAGTTGGTCCCCGACCAGCATCTTTCCATATTCCCAGTACTAACTGCACACTGACCAAGGTGCCGGCTTTGGTTGGACAATGCCCTCTCCTCGGAAGTCTGAGTCCCAGCTCTGCAGGGCCCCTCTGACAACACCAACCTCTTCTCTTTGTATTCCTAGTCTTAGGAGATGACTGCTTCTTGCAATTCCTATCTCTGTGTTTAACCTGTTCCTTATATCAAATTCTCTCTGCTGAAATACCTGGGATGGTTTCTGCTTTTCTGTTTGGATCCTGACTGAAACAAATGCTTGATGATATGAGCCATTAATATTGTCTAAAAAAATTCCACATTATACACACACACACACATGCACACACACGCACACACACACACACACACACTTTCCTGCTTATCATACATCTCTCTGACTAGAATTGGCTTCTCATGTAGGTTTTCTACAAAGTTTTTCTTCAGCAAGTGTATAAAACACATATGGTCCACTTGAAAGTGACATTTTTCATTATACGTGAATATATTTGAATGTTGGTTTTCATACATCAGTCTCTGGCAACCTTGTTTCAGCTGTGGCCACAGATCCATTTCTGGGACATTGGTAACAGGTATCCTGCACTTGCCAAATGAGGGTCGGATCCTAAACTGCTTAATTCCAGCAGGGTGAGGACACCCTGACCAGCCAACCAGTCTCCTCTCTTACTCCTCCCTTGATTTTTCCCCATAGTGGTGTCAAGCATGAACCTAGATTTCTTCTAACGGCAATGGCTAATATTGAGAGACAATGTCCCCTTTTTATACACATTATATTCCTTTTTTTTAATTCTCCAAATAAAACTTCTCTGGAAAGGATCTAAAAAGCCTTCAATATCAAGATATAAATGACCAATACAGCTAAACTACCTCATCTAAGAGAGTATTTTAATTTTACTTGCATTTCAATAAACCTTGAATTGGTTTAAGTCAGAGGGATCAAGCATTGATTTTAGAGTCTCAGAATTCACTGAGCTGAGTCCTGGAGAAGTTTTCAGTGAGAGGGAGTAGGAGAGAGGTGGGTCACACTCCAACTGCTCCTGAAAATCATGCACACAGATGCTTTCTTTAGCTATCCTTTAAGTTGGCACGGATATAAAGACACGTTCAATCCCACACAGTTCTCAACTGTCCTTTGCCAGACCATAGCTGATCTACTTTTGGCCAAGGCCACAGTGGAGCACCCTGGGGGAGGCCACATGTTACCTATACATCTCATAACAGCCTCCTTTGTAAAGCTAAACAAATATTTGCTCCCAGCCCACAGAGCTGATTCACAGGCCTGAGTTTCCACACGTATTCGTGTGTGTGTCTACTGCTCACAGCGGTGGCTGTGCCAACATCCTGGCTGGACCCCAGGGGCCAGCTGAGCCAGCAAGATGCAGTAGGCAGTCCCAGTGCCTCTTAGCAGCTGGATGCCCCCAGGCGTCCTCTGAGCTTCCAGACAACCCTGTGCAGAATGGTGCCTCCAGCTTTTACCTGGGGCTTGTTCTAGATGTTCTAATACTCAACTCATAGGCAAGAAATGATGGCCCAACTCTAACTCACATCTTGAGAAACTGGATACAAGGGATATCACCAGAGCATGTATGGAATGATAACCTTAAGTAAGATGTAATAATAAGGCAAAGTTTAAAATGAATCTAATGGGAAATGACTGGAGAAAAGTAAAAAGGATCCATGCTAATGGGCCGCGGACTCTAGCCTGGGCCAGCCTTGCTACTCTGCATCCTCGAATGTGAACAATTGGCTAAATCTTTTTAGATGGACATCTCCTCATCTGCAAGATGATGGGGGCTGGCCGAGGGTTTTTTGGAAGCTTCCCCACATGTTCTCTGTATGCATTTGCTGTGGCTGCCATAACAAAGTGCCACAAATCAAGTGGCTTGAACGAAGGAATTCATTGTCTCCTAGTTTGGAGGTTGGAAGGCTGAGGTCAAGTTGTCAGCCTGAATTGGTTCCTTCTGTGCTGTGGGGCGGGGGGGGGGGGGGGGGGGGGGGGGGGGGGTTGGCAATCTGCTTCATGTCCTTCTCCCAGCTTCTGGTGGTTTGCTGGTGATTTTTGGTTTTCCCTGACTTGTAAATGCATCACCCCCATCCCTACCTTCATCTTCACACGACACTCTTCCTGTGTGCGTGTCTATCTCTGTGTCCAAATTTTTCCTCTATAAGAAGACAGTCAGATCTGGTTAGGGCCCAACCCAGTGACCTCATCTTAACTTGATCATAGACAAAGACTGTTTCCAAATAAAGTCATCTCAGGAGTATGGAGGTTAGGACTCCAACATCTCTTTGGGTGATATATAATTCCACTCATAGCCCTCTGACCTGATTCTTGTGTGTGAGCCTTCTGGCTGTGATGAACCTGGCCTTCTCTCTGCAGCCAGCCTGTCACTGGTCTTCTGCTTTGCTGTAGGAAAGCCGGAGGATAGATGGATACATCTCCTAATGACCTCTTTCCAATTGTGTAACGTCAGGCAAGTCACTTTACCTCTCTGAGCACCCCCCCCACCCCCGTTTCCTCATCTAAAAGATGGTAATAATAGGTTTGCTAAGAAAAGTCAGTGACCTAAAGCAAACAAGTATTTGGCTGGCACACGGTAAATGCTCAACAAATTATAGATGTTGTTATTTATTCCTGTTGAGTCAAGGAGAGGATGGGTCAGTGATTCCCTAACCCTAGCTGCATAGTAGAATTATCTCGGGGAACTTTTTCAAAACTATTGGTGCCCTGGCCCCACTACAGAGTCTGACTCCATTGGTCTGGGATGGGATCCAGGCACTGATATCTTTAGAAGCTTCCTGGTTTAACAGGCAGCTGGGAGTGAGAACCACTAGAATAGTTGAAAGCATTGAAAACACCAACGGAAAGCCTCAATGCAGTTGAAAGTCAGAAGACGTTGGCTTGTAGCGACTTCGCTAGGTGGTCCAGGTGGTGGGAGCTGCCAAGGACAGCTCTCAGAAAACTTGGGAGTTAGGTGACCTGGATCGCAGAGCCATTTCTTGCTTCATGGTCTTCCTGTAAAATCGTTTCCAGGCCTCTCCGATGAGCGAGCATCCCCACTGAGACACTCCCCTGGACCTTTTCCTCACAGTGACATTCCATCCGCCTGCCTGACCACAAGACCCAGGTGTTAACTTCCCCGGTCTGCAGCTCCGGGTCTGGTAAAGACATCCTCCGTCAGAGTTAATGCCAGATAACAGGGTTGATGTGCTATCCTCCCTAGGGAGACTTACCTAGGCGTGCTCATCACAGATCTCAAAGAATTCTCCAGTGAGGAGATTTCGGACTGGTAGACCTACGGGATGGGGATGGCAAAGCCTCTCATACTCCACTAGGTGGGAACTGCTCGCTTTGAATAAGCATGACTCACAAGGCCCCCACACTCGTGAACTGGAGAGCATCTATTCTACAGAAAAATTCTCTCACTTCCCACACTGTTCCCAGGACCAGATTCCTCCAAAGTATAGATGTGGGCTCTAGGGACAGCTGTCCCAAAGAAGTGATACAACCAGCCTCAGTGGCTTTTGTTTTTCAGGTCCCTTTGCTGAGTAAGGAAGGCAGCTGTGGGTGGCTCTCCTGCCTCTCTTCTCTCTCCAGCTGCTCGATGTCACTTCATCATCAGGCCTGGCTTGTCCAAGGCTTGGCTTTCTTACAGTGCCACACTTGTCCCCTTAGCATCGGACACTTGCCTCTCATGGTCCCTTTAAGTCCCAGGGTCTCTGCAATTCTCGTGAGGGAAGGGGAGTGACTTTTTGTTCTGTGAGGGGATCAGTAATACTAAATGAAATGATATGTAAATAGAAGCAATTTGAATGACAAAGCTACATAAATTCCCTTAATTTATGATCATAAAAGTCAGGACTATCCATTTGCTCTTTGGCCAAATTAATAAAAGTGTAGCAAATAAAATGGTAATTCTCTCCATTCCAATCTATTTGAGGTAGTGTTTGCTTTGGCACTTTCCATTTCTTTGCTTTTAATCAAGAATATGTCAGAAAGATGAGTAGCCTGAGCCAAACAGTCTTCTTTTAATACAAAACAGGATGTTGTATCTTCATCTGGCAATAACTGACTTTAATTTAACCTCGGCTTTTGGAAACACAAGGGAAAAGGAAATATAACCTGGGACTGGGAAATGCTTTTGCTAAACCCAGACGCTCTGAACCTGAAGCCAGCTCAGTGTTCTGGAGTCACCCAACTGCCTTCTGCTGCTGGTGTCTGAAAGGAGAAATGAGTTCCTTTAAGTGGAGCACAGTGGGGAAGCAGTCACTGTACGAGGAGAGTGCCAGAGCCCTCTTGATTGCCCTGAACCAGCCCCACGCCCCCTGCCATTTCTGACAGAATTGATCCAGTTAAGCCCGCATTTCCTGGCAAGCCTGAGGACGGGTTTTTCCAAAAGGCATCTCTGACCGCGAAGACACACGTCTAATCACAAAAGCAAAGCTCTGGACACACGTTCTCTGTTTCCAGCTGGTCGTGTGTGTTTTCTTCACACGTTAACAAAAATGTGCCAAGGTGTGGCATTTATGAACCCCACCAACCGGGAGCTGTGCACACAAATCCGCCGGCCTGTGGGGTGGGAAAGGATGAATGGGGGCTGTCCTGCCTGGGGAGGAGGGCTGCTTCCCCTCTGGCATGCCTGCAGCCTTATTTATTACACACCGAAGTATAAAAGCGCCCAGCCGCCTGCAGCTCTCATCTCCAGCCCTGGCATCTGCCCGAGGAGCCTCGCCCGTCTTCTCCGGGAGGCTCTGGGGCTCTGTTGACAATCATGCGCGGGAGGCAGCTCGTCTGTTGGCACCTGCTGGCTTTGCTTTTCCTCCCGTTTTGCCTCTGTCAAGATGAATACATGGAGGTGAGCGGAAGAGCTAAGAAAGTGGTGGCGAGAATAGTGCAAAGCCACCAGCAGACTGGCCGTAGCGGCTCCCGGAGGGAGAAAGTGAGAGAGCGGAGCCATCCTAATACTGGGACTGTGGATAATAACACTTCTGCAGACCTAAAATCCCTGAGACCGGATGAGCTACCGCACCCTGAGGTAGATGACCTAGCCCAGATCACCCCATTCTGGGGCCAGGTACTCGGAATTCTCTTCTAAGGGGTTACTGTGAAAGCTTAATGAGTTTGGCTGTTGTTCTTGTTTCAGCTATGATTCTTAGGATCAGTGCTTTCTAGAAGTTTGCTAGACTGCTTGTGGGTGTCTTTCTGGGTTGCTCTGGGGGACCAGGGGGACTGTGGTCTCTGTTAGAAAATCAGCAGAGGACGTGCGGAGACAGAGTGTCCCCCAGGAGAAAGGAGAACGGAGCAGCGGGCTCCCTGCTGTGCTGTGACTTAGTTTCTTTCCTGCTCTCTTACTGTGCAAAGTAGTGCTGACCTATGCAGATAGACGGATCTTTTGCAGATCCTAAGAGAGTTGGATTTTCTTAATCCTTCCCAGCAGGGAGAGGCTGCCCTTTGAGTTTTCCACTTTGATGTGTTAGTTGACTGTGACATTTCATGCCAGGCCTGTTTATTTGATTTATGGCAGTCTGGGTTGCTAAGCCTCTCTGTTCAGCCTGTGAACCAAAGAGAACAAAAAAGACTACATGTGTCCAAAAAAGCCAAACTTCATTGTGTGATTTAATGCCTGATAATCACAAAGAACTTGATTTATTTCCCTGGGTGTAAACTCGGCATCCAAGGAAACATCTTTAACTCTTTTGGGGGTAGTACAGGAGTGAGGTAAGGTTTCAGTGTAGTGAATTGTCAATTGGTGAAACTCCATTTAATTAAAACATTAAGAACTGGACAAAATGGATATTGACTTACCTTCTCCACATCTAGTATGTTGAAATCAGATGAGGGGGACAATAAGAGTTACTTCAAATGATAGGAACTTTGAACAAAGAGGTTTTACAACAACAATTGACTGTGTCTTTGCATTAAATAGTCCCTGAAAAGGTTCATGCAGTTGAAATCTAAACCCGTCCTATCACAGACTGAAAAGTCTGGGTTGAGGCTGGAGATATGAATTTCAGCCTGAAATTCCACACATGATCAGCTATAGATCTGGGGCTAACTTGGGACTTCTTCTTCTTCTTTTTTTTTTTTTTAAATCAGGGTTGAACTTTTTTTTTTAACGTTTATTTATTATTTTTGACAGAGAGAGTGTGTGAGCAGGGGAGGGGCAGAGAGAGAGGGAGACACAGAATCTGAAGCAGGCTCCAGGCTCCAAACTGTCTACACAGAGCCCAATATGGGGCTCGAACTCACAAACTGTGAGATCAAGACCCAAGCCCAAGTCGGACGCTCAACTGAGCCACCCAGGTGCCCCTAACTTGGGACTTCTAACTCAACAGCACAATGCAGAATCCCAGACTGTTCCATGAGGCTGTGTCAAGAAAAAATTGTTTCTGTAAGGAGTCACAAAAGAAATAACTTCCAAATACAATCTTATTTTCAAAGGCCACTTTTAGAGATTGTCCTTTCATTTGACGATCCTTTTTCTTTTGTTAAGTAACCTGCATCCAATGTGGGGCTCGAACTCACAATCCCAAGATCAAGAGTCACACACTCTACTTATTGAGCCACCCAGGCCCTGCCCCATCTGACAATCTTTTGGCCAGGGGGTGACTAATGCTACTTTGTATTTCCTTTGTGGTGAAGATATTTTCATTTTTGTCCAAGCCTTGACCTGGCCTTTCCATTTCAGTGGATGGGATCTTTGCTGGGCCCTTCCTGGCCTTCGCTGTGTGAGCCCCCAGACGCAGCAGAAGGCAGATGTAGGCTATCGTTTGTTGTTATTTCTTGGCAACCAACACCCAGAAGGCCACTGGAATCCAAATTACATTTCTACTTTGCCCTACCTTCTGGTGGGAGGCAGCCAGCATGCTGGAGTCAGATGCAAGAGGATAAAAAGTCACTTTCTGGCTTTTTTTTTTTTTGAAGTCAGAGGGGCTTTTGAACCCTCCTGGGCTCCAGACGTATCTTCAAAACCAACCGACAGACAGACAGACAGACAGACAACCTAATAGGACATACTGAGGAGATTTAGACTCACTGATATTCTGGAGATCCTCGATAATGACGCGCCTGCCAATGGGTATGGAGACTCACACTGCATTTCAGGTTTTACTGTGTTCCCCTTCTTCCCTATGTCCCCCACCTCTTTTCTTTTTTCTTTTTCTTCATTCATTCTCCCACCAATGACTTCCTGGGCCCCTACTATGCGCCAAGCTTTACGATGGGAATAAATATGTCCAAGCCTATGTCCAGACAGTTCTGCAGGGCTCTCTGAGGGATAAATGAACAGATAATTGAATACCATATGATAAACAAAATCTCTGCAAATAAGGCATTTGGGGAGAAAGTGTCAGAGTGGTGGTGGCCGCTGAGTTGGATCTCAAAGGTGAGACAAAAAGGATGGTTACCCATACAAGAAATACAATTTAAAAATATGTGAGACAGCAAAGCCTGGGAGGAATGAGTGTGGCTGGAGCTCCTGAGCTGTGGGCGGAAAGCGGGATGATCTTAGTGCCAGCCCGGAAGATTCTGTTGGCCGGTTAAGGAGCTCAGACCTTAGTTTGCCATCGAAAGTTGTGTTTGTTCACAGCAGGGCAGTGAGGTGATCTGGTGTGTGTTCTAGAAAGAGGACTCTGGCCATGGGCTTTGTGGTGGGTAGAGTGTGCAGAGATCAGGGGAGAGTAGACTTGGTCTTTCTTTTCCTGGCAGTTTCTTCTCTGCAGTTCTTAGTCAGTCACCTTTATCAATCTCCCCTCCTTCTCATGGATGCTTTCTCCCCTTCTTCCCACCTCCCTCCTCCTTTCTCTTCCCTCTTTCTTCCAGTAAAGAAGGAGCTGTGGACTTTCTTTCTGAGAAGTCACTCACTAAGAGCAGAGTTCAAATCTGAGTAGCTGCCCCATCACCTTCATCTATAAAACGTACAGAACTTGTCTTAGAGACACCTACCTCCTCCCATGGTGCTCAGTTTTGTGTCTTTGGCTTTCCAGTTGGACCTGCCTAGGAGAGATGGTAAGAGGGAGATATGTAGTGACTCCCCAGTATGTAATTCTCCCTTACCTAGGTGATAACCTCTGAGTGAACACATCCCATCCAGCTTGGTCGAAGAGTCCCTCAAAGGCTCACAAGCACTATTCCATTGGATTGAATTTTGAAAGACCAGGCCAGGGGAACATGTTGTGAAGGACTCTCAGGAGATGCCCAGCTAGTAGAAACCGGAAGACCCTCCCTGTTGGGGTGGCAGCTCTCTGCTCTCAAGGCACTCCCAAGTAGCTTGGGCACACACCCCAGTCCTAGTGAGCTCTGATACTGAGCAGTCCTAACTCCTGGAGCTAACTTCTCACACCCAGACACTCATCTTTAAGAATAAAATCTTTCTGGAGCACCTGGGTGGCTCAGTCGGTTTAGCATCCGACTTCAGTTCAGGTCATGATTTCACAGTTCATGGGTTCAAGCCCCGTGTTGGGCTCTGTGCCAAAAACAGCTCAGAGCCTGGAGCCTGCTTCAGATTCTGTGTCTCTCTCTCTCTCTGCCCCTTCCCTTTCCCACTCACACTGTGTGTGTGTCTCTCTCTCCCTCAAAAATAAATAAACATTTACAAAAATTAATTAAAAAAAAGAATAAAATCTTTCTAAGCCATTATTGGAGGGTTTGGAAAAGACCTTAGTATCTTTGCTTGCTCTTAGAGCTGGAAAGAAACTTCATGACCATGTTACCCAGTGCCCTAATTTAGTAGACAAGAAAAACGATGCCTGGCGGGAGGGGGGTGGGAGGGCGGGCAGTGACATCACTAAAGCCACACAGACCTGAGATGGGAGTTCTGGTTCCAGTACAGCCATCTTCCTAACATTCCTAACATCTCAGTGACTCAATTCTGTTCTTTAATGGGTCCATGTCAGGATTTTCCCTCCTTTCCCCTCCCTTCTTCTTCCCCAAAGCCCATTATTGGCAGAGCCTTAGATTTCTTGGAACTTAAAAAGCTGTATTTCACATTAGCAAAATCATACCAGGAAATTATGGAATACCTACTTCTCACATTGCATCCTTGGATTGGAAGGTGGGGCGGTGCTGTGGTGTCTGGATTTCCAAGCGTCTGAACTTGCCCGTCTCAGACCACTTCCTTTAGCTGATTTTTGTTTCCTTCACCAGTTTTACAAAAGGTTTTTACAGAGTCCCATATCTGGCCAGTGTGGAGTCTGGGGGGCAGAAGAGCAGACAGGGGTTAGCTTCAAATTGTGGTCCCTGATCACTTGAGACTGGAGCTCTGAGCTGATGCAAGAGAATGCTTGGGCTGGCTGTTTTGCATTTTCCCTGAATGACTTGGTGGAAGGCTTTAGGAAAAAGGAATGAGGGAGTGAGGAAAGAGTCCAAGACCATTTTTGATTTAAAAAAAAAAAAGAAAAAGAAAGAAAAGAAAAAAAGCAAAGTCAAATGTGCAGCAATGCAAAGCCTTGACTCACTTTTCTGCTTGGATTTCTAGTGATAGAGAAAACGTGAATTTTAAAACCTTCCTTTCCCCCACCCCCCTCTTTTTCTCCCTCTCTTCCTTTTCTAATGAATCCTTCAGAAACAATGTGCTGTTTTCAAAAGACCATTGACTCATTTCAAAAGACCTAGACTCATGTCTAGGAAAGTTTCCACGACTATTCTGCATGATATAATTAAAAAACAAGTTACCAATTTAATGACACACTAAATCTTAAAAGCAAATCTAACTCTCCCGCTAGAGCTATAGCTCCTTTACCTTAAGCATAGAGTTTAGAGATTTTTCTTTAAATTTTTCTTTTTTACATTTATTTATTTTTGAGAGACAGAGAGAGACAGCGTGGGCAGGGGAGGGGCAGAGAGAGAGGGAGACACAGAATCAGCAGCAGGCTCCAGGCTCCCAGCTGTCAGCACAGAGCCTGACACGGGGCTCGAGCCCACAAACAGGGAGATCATGACCTGAGCCGAAGTCGGACGCTTAACCGACTGAGCCACCGAGGCGCCCCTAGAGATTTTTCTTTAAATAACTAAGCAAGTCCACTCAGTGTCGTATTTGAATACATTGGGTGCCCATTAAGTACTCATTGAATATTGGCTTGAACGATGTGAAAATCATTTAAAATTTTGAAGTGAAATATGAAACAGAACATGAGGTTAAATACTTATTGTCTTTTTTTTTTTTTTTTTTTTTTTTTTTTTTTTTTTTTTTTTTTTTTTTTTTTGAGAGAGAGAGAGAGAGCACTAGCAGGGGAGGGTAGAGAAAAGGGAACAGAGGATCCAAATGCTGATAGCAGCAAGCTGATGCTGGGCTTGAACTCAGCAAACATGAGATCAGACCTGAACCTAAGTCAGATGCTTAACCAACTGAGCCACCCAGGTGCCCCTTAGTTGAACACCTATTCAGAGGGAGTTAAAGTTGTTTCAAGATGTACATAATGAATACAAATTTACTGGACTAATGAACGCTTTGTTTCCTTAATTTCCTAAGGCAATTTAAGTGTGCGGTGGCTGAAAAGGTAGCATTACAATTCAAAATTTCTAAGAACCCTTACCCCAGTATCATGAATATAGAAAGTCTTAATAACCATCTTTGAAGTTGATAATATAATTCTTATCATTTGAGAGTCATCTACTCAAACAAGCTACATGCGAGGGTGCTGGCAGCGGGGAAAGAGAGGGGTGCCTTCACATCCACTCTGAAGGGGGTCTCCTCTTTTGCTGTCACTGGTAGCCTCAGGACAGTCTTCCCAGAAATCCTGCCCCACCCCCTGCCAACACCACACTTCTTCCAGAAAGCATGCCTTTCTTTTGACCCACTGGCTTCCTTGTCCTTTGAGTCATCAGCTCCCTTTAGCTACCCTGCCATTCGAGTTCCCATGCCACACCATCTTTTCTGATGTTGTTGTAGGGTGTTTGGAGTTTAACTTACCCAAGGGCTGAGACCAGAGGAAATTCACAAATCCTAATTACTCCCAAGTGCCATTCTCTGAAACTTTTCTCTGTATCTTTTTAAAGTCTCCACAAACCGGAGGACTGCCCCCAGACTGCAGCAAATGTTGCCATGGAGAGTACAGTTTCCGAGGCTACCAAGGCCCCCCTGGACCGCCCGGCCCCCCTGGCATTCCAGGTAAGGATGAGAAAGACGGGGCACTGTTGCCAGTCTAATTGTGCACTGTGCCAAAATAGGAGTCAAGGTGAATCTAAATAATTTGGGTTCACTTGCGTGTGGTCCGAACAGCGTGCGTGGAAATCCAAAAGAGAGTTTGGGAGAGCCCTGGATTTATTAAGCCAATTAGGTGGAACAATATACTATCAAATCCATAGAATTTATTTTTTATCCCGCTTGCAGAATCCCAAAGGTGTGAAGAGCTCTGGGGCACCAGATTCATCGGGAGCGGGGGTTCTTCACCAGCATGGAGTACAGAACTATGCGATCTTATTTGGACATACTCTTGTTTCAGTGTTTCTGCCACAACGTGCTTTATGCAACCATGCGCTAACTTTCAGGGAACTTCCGAAGTGAAGGTGCGGAGGAGATGCGCGCCTGTCGGTCTGGTTAGAGCCATCTCCACAGTACCATTCGCTGAGCCACGCATCCTTCTATCTGATTCTATGTCCAGCTAAGTTTTTCTTCCCTGAGCCTCAGAGTCTGTCCATGTTCAGTTCTTTGTTGACTTTCATGCCTCTCTTGGGCTCATGGGAACATTTTGGGCTCTGGTACCACATAGTGGCATGGGAAATGCTGTTGGGCTCCATTCAGCCATCCTACTCTACTGAGTGTGCCCCAGGCACAGAGCTTCTGAGAACTGGCTAGTATCTGGGGTCAGCCAAGGAAAGGGTAGCCTAGATTCTCTAGGCTCCCAGATCCATCTGAGGATTATTTTCCTCTTCCCCTACCCCTTCCTGGGCTAGGACTTTTTCTCAGTGTTTGACAGAAGTCCGCTTGCTCTCCTCTAACTTACCCTCATTGATATTAACATTTATCAAATGAGGTTTAATTTTTTTATGTACTTTTGAGTGGCTTCTCTTATGAAACCAAATCTAAAATGAGAAAACATTCTGTTAGACTTTAAACTATGATTACTGTCTTGGAATCTATGTCATGGGATGTCAATGGTAGCAGCCAGCAGGTGCAGTAATTGTGGATAGAGAATATTCAGACTCCTCTAAAGTATTCTGAGGGCTAAACTCTTCCGAGCTTACAGAACAGTCTGGCCTTGGCCAAATATTTCCCAATCAGAATGGCTTTGTTAGTCCTTGACTTGTAAACACGGCCAAAGTTTGTTTATCTGGAAGGATTGCAAGCCTGGCATAATAACTGACCAAAGGTAGCATGGAAAATAATCAGCAAAAGTGTGTAAAATTTAACAAGTATAAAATAAAGGAAGACTAGTAGGAATTGTCTCTTAGTGGCAAAGAGTTGAAATCATTATCCAAGTCTTGCTTTCAAAATTATTGTTAGAATTTTTAGCAATGATTTTACATTCCCTCAGTTGTAAAAGTGGTATGTGTCCTTTGTAGAAAAATGCAAAGAGACAAAAAAAGATACATGGCATGATACAAAAGCCAGTCATGTTCCATCCATTCAGGAAAAAAAAACGTGAAATATTTTTATGTAATAGATAAATATTATTTATACCTAACATCATTCTATCTCTATTGGTTCATAACCTTTTAATCTTAAAGTGTCTGAATATTATTAAATATTATTAAATATTTTTCTTTAGCATTCTTTTTCTGTGACTATATAGCCTTATTTATTGGATGTATTTTTTTTTATTTAGCTCTTCCAGTATTGGTGGACACTTAAGTGGTTTCTGATCTTTGCTATTATAAATGATACTTTGATAATCAGTCCTCATAAATTCTTCATCCAATTCCTGCTTTATGAGAAAAACAGGCTTTGGAGACTTGATACCTAAGAAGGCTGTCTTCAGTGTCCCATGTGGAAGAAATCCGATTTGATGATGACCCCTTGGCTGCATTCAGGATTGCTTTCAAATGGTCTTCTTTTACAACTGAGATTGAACCTTTATGAAGAAAGGGTCTGCATTTGTATAAAAATAGAAGGTGGGTGTGAGTGATGGAGGCTTTCTCTTGTGATGATGTCTGCTTGTAATTTCAGGAAACCATGGGAACAATGGCAATAATGGAGCCACTGGCCATGAAGGGGCCAAAGGTGAGAAAGGAGACAAAGGTGACCTGGGGCCACGAGGGGAACGGGGGCAGCATGGTCCCAAAGGAGAGAAGGGCTACCCAGGGATTCCTCCGGAACTACAGGTAAATCTCCTTGCGCACATCTCTGTGTGACTTTCAAACTGCCCTGAGTATTCAGAAGGCCTGAGTACTTCTTAAGACAAGCCCTCAACCAATGGCCAATGGCCAGTATGCCTCTGGCTTTACTCAACGCCTCCTATCCCTCCCCGCCCCTGCCCCCCTCAGGCAGCCTGTGTTGTTCAAAGAGCATTTTGAAATCATTCTTAGGAAGGCATTTAAGGTTGAAATTCAACAACCTTCATGGACCAAATCCATGGGCAGCCCTGAGTATCAACTAATCTCCCATTTTCCAAATCAGAAGATGTGTTAAATAAAAAAGGTTTTTTGGCAACTCAAATATACAAATGTTTAGATGTATAAATAGAATGGTCAAATGTCTACTTACAATATCTTATTTATTAATTTTGTTACATTTATCAATTCAAATCACATATATGGATACTAATATGTAAGTATTCTCTATCAACTCAAGACCTTGTGGCACAGTTTTTATTTAAATTTTTCAATCTTCTTTATCAGTAGAGACATTTTATTTTTAAGTGATCCACCCTAGATTAGATTAGACTTGATGATATTCATTTCAGTTTAAAGTGTTTGAATCTATTTATGAGGCTATAATTGGATATTTTATCCTAAGCTTAAGTGCTCATTTGTCTGTTTATTTCTCTTTTAAGTGATGTTCAAAATTCTAGTTGCCAATAACATCTAAAATTTGCAAATGTAAGATTATGTCCCCAAGAAAATGACTAAATCTTGGGTATTTATTTATTTTCTGGCTGATATTTTTTAAATCGATTTTTCCAAGGGATTCCTATCAACATTGAAAACAGTTTTTACTAAAGTTGTTTTTGGCTGATATGAAATATGACTGTGGTTAAAATAAAATACAGGTCTTCCTCAACTTATGATGGGGTTACTACGAGAAGTAAGGAAGATGATTCATTTTCAGAAATAGCAAATAAAAACTATGCTGTCTAATTAACAGCAGATTTACAACCTATTGGAAATATGTACGACCCTCCCCCACCCCCAACAATAGAGTTCCAAACCCTTAGACACTTCACTTCCCCTCTCCTTTTCACGGGTTTATTTTCATGGGCTTTGCCATAAGCGCTAAAGAATAAAGGGAGGAGGGACTGAAAGTTCCTGCATCACCTCAGGGAATATAGTTTGTTCCAATCAGACTACTCCTTGCCCTACATGGGCATAGGTGACATCCAGGGGAGGGTGTAACCTCTGTAGTGCTCAGCCAATGAGGAACCAGGGAAGGGACTTGCATGCTAGGAGATAAATTGCCTGCTGTAACTGCCCCAAGTGTGCCTGCCTATCTATCAGACACCTGCTCTTGCAAGAACATTGAATAAAGCTTCGCTTCACTGTGCTCTGAGTCTCCACATCCCTCCTTTGATTGAGTCAACAGGCTTATTTCTAACAGTTATGTCAGATAAACCCATTTTAAGTTGAAACATGGTAAGTCAAAAGTGCATTTAATCGGTGCCTGGGTGACTCAGTCAGTTAAGGGTCTGACTCTTGATCTCAGCTCAGGTCTTGATCTCAGGTCTTGATCTCAGGGTTGTGAATTCAAGTCCCATGTTGGACTCTTCTTTTAAAAAATGCACTTAATACACCTAACCTACCAAAAATCATAGCTTAGCTTAGCGTACCTTAAACATGCTTAGAACACTTCCATTAGCCTATAGTTGGGCAAAATCATGTAACACAAAGCCTATTTTGTAATAAAGTGTTGACTATCTCATGTAATTTATTGGATACTCTACTACAAGTAAAAAAAAAAAAAACAGAACGGTGTGTGGGTACAGAATGGCTGTAAGTGTATCATCGGTTGTTGATCCCCTGTCCAGCATCGCAAGAGAGGATCTGCCACGTGTTCATAGCCCAGGGAAAAAATCTAAAATCAAAATCTGAAGTACGGTTTCCACTGAATGTGTATTGCTAGTGCACCATCCACAGGGTGCCCGGGTGGCTCAGTCAGTTAAGGCTCTGACTTTGGCTCAGGTCATGATCTTGAGGTTTGTGAGTTTGAGACCCACGTGGGGCTCTGTGCTCATAGCTCAGAGCCTGGAGTCTGCTTCGGATTCTGTGTCTCCCTCTCTCTCTCTGTCCCTTTCCTGCTCGCACTCTGTCTCTCTCTCTCTCTAACATAAATAAACATTTAAAAAAAAAAGATGAAAAATTGTGCAGTGGACCCATCAAAGGTAGGGGCCTGTGTGTCATTGAGAGAACATACCATAGCATGAGAGACTTTTAAAGAACCAGAATATAGAGACTTTAATCTGAAAGATCAATTGGGGGGAAAACTTTGCCTTTTATTTGGGCATATCTGGTGGTTGTTTGACCGCAGATAAATTCCATCAACTTTCTGGGCCTCCTGTTTTTTAAGTTGTAACCCGAGAGGTCTTTTGTGTTTCTCTAACTGCTTTGGGGGTTTTGTCACTTGTAAATGAATGCTGTTTATTGATTTTAGCAACCTGGGATCAATGTGCTGGCAGAAATTTACAAAGAAGCCACATGCCATTTGGCCAGGTAAAGGGTGTCCAATAAGATGGATGATTAACATTCCCAAAGATAGAAATTCTAACTCCAAACCCGTGATGGTTACACAATGGCCAGGGAGCCCTGACGTAGCCAGTTTGATGGAGCATATCTTAGGCAATTATAAAACTACTCCATCAGCTATTTCACCCTAAAACTATAATGTATCATGGTGCCTGGGTGGCTCAGTTGGTTAAGCATCCAACTTCGGCTCAGGCCATGATCTCACAGCTTGTGGATTTGAGCCCCGCGTCGGGCTCTGTGTTGACAGCTCAGAGCCTGGAGCCTGCTTCAGATTCTGTGTCTCCCTCTCTCTCTCTACCCTTCCCCCACTCACCCTCTGTCTCTGTGTGTGTCAAAAATAAATAATCATTAAAAAAATAAATAAATAACTGCAATGTACTAATTGGGAGAAATACCTTCACATGTTTTAAAGGAGGACTTATAGAGGAGGGTCGATTGGCCTCAGGCAGCATGTAAAGAAGGGTGACTTCCAGGCCCCTTCATTCTTATTTCCAAGTCCCTCCTCTGGTGTCACCCCTACCTTCCCCTTCCTCTGTGTCCAGGGCCCTCATGCTGTCTTTTCCGACTGTTCAGATCCTTTCCGTGTTCATTCTCCCAGGCCTGCTTTCAGAGCAGACCCCTGAGTCTTTCAGAACTTCAAATTATTCACTCTCTCTCTTCTCTCACCCCCTCCCTTAAAACTCCCATTTTATGAAGACAGGTGGTCCCAGCAAGTTAAAGAATGTGTTGATCTGACTCACACTCAGTTAAAATGACTCCTTTGGATGGGGGATTGGCAATAGGTTTTGGTTGTTGTTGTTGTTGTTGTTTTTAATGTCTATTTATTTTTGAGAGAGAGAGGCAGACAGAGGATCCAAAGTGGGCTCTGCACCGACAGCAGAGAGCCCGATGTGAGGTTTGAACTCACAAACCACAAGACATCATGACTTGAGCCAAAGTGGGTTGCTTAACTGAGCCACCCAGGTACGACTGGCATTGATTTTCAAATGTGACTGGCCAGTAATGGTGCAATTCCAGGGTGGGGTTTTCTTACATCACCAAATATTTGTCCTACATCAACGGGGTGTCCTACAGTGCAACTCAGTTCTGACACTACCTGCTTGGAGACAGCACCAGAGTCCAAAGTTAAAAGCTCAGCCCAGCAAGACTCACCGCCCCCGCCCCCGCCCCCAGCCCCCACTTCAGATGCTACTCGCAAATTCAGGTTGTCATCTCTGCTTCTGACAGTCTGGCTATGGAGGAGAGGTTCCAACAACCCCTTCCTTAGGATCAGTTCATTTGCTAGCATGAACTCAGAGAAACATTCTACTTACTCAGTCACTGCTTTTTATAATTCAGGAACAGCCAGATGAAAGAGATGCTTCGGGCCAGGTTTGGGGAGTTTCCATGTCCTCTCAGAGATCGAGGGCCACTCTCCTGCCCCTTCACGTGTTCGCCAACGTGGAAGCTCTCTGAACCCCTTCCTTTTAAGTTTTATGGAGTCTTCATTGCACTGGCATGTTTGATTAAATCACAGGCCCCTAGTGATTGAACTCAACCTCCAGCCCCTCTGCCCTTCCTGGATGAGAGGTGGGGCCCAAAGTTTCTAATCGTGGGGGGCTTCACTGGCAAACAGCCCCCATCTTTAGGTTGTCTAGGGGCTTTGCCAAAGTCACCTCATTAACATCACAAAAGACCACCTGATTTCTCTTAACACTTAAAATATTCGGATGGTTTCAGGAACTCTATGCCAGAAGCCAGGACAAAGAAAAAAAATGTGTATTTATTATAAATCATAATATCACAGGTATTTTGGGGAAAAAAATAACATAGGTGAGCAAAATTAAAAGGTTATCTGGAAGCAGGCCTTCTCAGATCCTTTAACATGCTCATGTGCATTTAATAACTATAAGTAGATTTCATCCAAATTTTCCCGGTATTAGGATTTTAATATTTCAAAAAGCCTTTAGAAGTTCAATACTCCATGGGGCGCCTGGGTGGTGCAGTCGGTTAAGCGTCCGACTTCAGCCAGGTCACGATCTCGCGGTCTGTGAGTTCGAGCCCCGCGTCGGGCTCTGGGCTGATGGCTCAGAGCCTGGAGCCTGTTTCCGATTCTGTGTCTCCCTCTCTCTCTGCCCCTCCCCCGCTCATGCTCTGTCTCTCTCTGTCCCAAAAATAAATAAACGTTGAAAAAAAAAATTTTTTTTTAAAAAATTAAAAAAAAAAAAAAAAAAAAAAAAAAAAAGAAGTTCAATACTCCTTGAAACACATGGTGAGAACTGTTGATATATATCATTTTAATGGCTGCATAGCATAAAAATGTTAGAAACTACTGTGATTTATTTAATTCTTTCTCTGTTTATTTCCAACCTAGCTAGTACAAAGAATGTTGAGATAAACTTATGTTTGTAAAAACCTCATTCCTTTAAGGTAAACTTCCTATTAACTGCCCAACTCTTTCCTTAGATTGCATTCATGGCTTCTCTGGCAACTCACTTCAGCAATCAGAACAGCGGGATTATCTTCAGCAGCGTTGAGACCAACATTGGAAACTTCTTTGATGTCATGACTGGTAGATTCGGGGCCCCAGTATCAGGTGAGATGTAAAAATAAATGAATGACCGAGTTAATCAACCTAGCAATCTGGATGGAAGGGAAGGCGGAGGGAGAGAAAAGGGTGAAGGGAGAGGAAACAAAGAAAGGAAGACACTTAGAGAGTTGAGAATTCTTTGATTCTGGTGAAAACAATCCGCCCATATATGGATTTCTGTTGGATTTCACAGTAAATGAATTAGAATTCAAAAAGATGAGGATGCTTTACAAAAAAACGATAACCATGGTTACTAAGGTTTTTTAACTCTTATTTGAACTGAAGCAAATAATCCCTAAGAGGGCATTTAGAAGTCCTAAGATCATAATTCTCACAGTTTAATGTGCCATAACAGTATCCTCCCATGCCACTGTCCTGAAGAGGGCCTGATCCTTTAAATAATTTTTACTTAAATTTTTAAAATTTCTTGAGCACTTCTGTATTTGTTTCCTATTGCTGCTCTAATGAATTACCATAAACTGAGTGGCTTAAAATGACACAAAGTTATTCACTTGTTAACTCTGGAGGCCCGAAGTCCAGAATCGGTCTGACTGGGCTGATGTTAAGATGGAGGCAATGCTTCTTCCTTTGCTAGCTGGCCTCTTCCAAGCCTGAGAGGCTGTCAGCGTGCCCTCTCTGTGAGCCAAATGGCTTCCCTCTCCCTTCTACTGTCAACATCCCCTCCTCTCAGATGCTGACCTCCTGGGCTCTCAAGGACAGCGTGATTACCTTGGGCCCACCTGGGTAATTGGATAGTCTCCCCATCTCAGGATCCTGAATTTAATCACACCTGCAAAGTCCATGTTGCCATATAAGGTACCATTCACAGCTCCTGGGGATTTTAGGACAAGGGCCTATTCGGAAGCCAACATTCAGCCCCTATAACTTCCTTACTTTTGGGCACCACAAGCTGATCATTCTGGGCTTTTCCTGCTGTCCTTTCAATACATGGATGTAAGCCTTCTTTTTGCCCTGAAAAGTTCCTTTGAATTATATTTTTAAATATAGATATAAATACTATTTTTTCTTATCGTTGCACTCAAGTAGGGTAGCATCAGGAACAGTCTGACTTGTGTTAGGAATCAGGCAATACGTGGGCATAGTGCCTATGGGATATTTTTAAAGCATAATAAGACCAATTAAAAGGTAACTCCATTTTTATTGTCATCATAGTCCAGCAATTCTAAACAATGTCTATGATAAAATACTCCTCCCCTTTGGGGTTGACCACTCACCAGCAGCCTCCCAACCCCGTCCCCCTGCATCTTAGTAGACCTACCACTGGTTAACTTTGTAAGGACTCTAATTATAGTCTGTTGGTTTCATTTTTAACTTTTCTTAGTCTGTCTTCTGTATCTTTTATTTTCTCTAACCTCTTGCTGCTCTTTAGTTCCATTTCATGTTGTTTGCTTTTCTGTCACTGTTCTTTTTTTTTAATGTTTGTTTATTTATTTTTGAGAGAGAGAGAGAGAGAATGGGAATCCCAAGCAGACTCTGCACTGTCAGCACAGAGTCCAGTTTGGCGCTCAAACTCATTAACTGTGAGACTGTGACCTGAGCCAAAACCAAGAGTCTAAAACTTAACTAACTGGGCCACCCAGACACTCCTCTATCACTAGTCTGCATGTCCTTAATTACATAATCTGAGGATGGATTTTCCTTTTTGCTTCTTCCAATTTCTTCTGTCCTGTTTCTGTGATACTTTCTTTACATTTTCTGTTTTACATTAACCCTTAGTCCCATTTTGTAGTTCCTTCTCTTGTCTGGATATTTCTGCCATGAGTTCCTACATTCTGTTCATATTCTTTCATAGAGGGATTTGCTTCATTAACATATTTTAAACTCATGTTGGGGTATTTAGTTACATTTCCCATCCACTACATGACAACATTCTTCTTGGTGAGTATTCTTCCACTCTTGGTAGCTTTTGCTCTTCTTTTCTACTTTCTTTTTTTTTTTTTTTTTAATTTTTTTTTTCAACGTTTATTTATTTTTGGGACAGAGAGAAACAGAGCATGAACGGGGGAGGGACAGAGAGAGAGGGAGACACAGAATCGGAAACAGGCTCCAGGCTCTAGGCCATGAGCCCAGAGCCTGACGCGGGGCTCGAACTCACGGACCGCGAGATCGTGACCTGGCTGAAGTCGGACGCTTAACCGACTGCGCCACCCAGGCGCCCCTCTACTTTCTAAAATTAGCTGATGGTTGGATGAGTTGGATTTTCCTAGACCAGTACATGCAGTAGTTTCTCAGGAAGGGGGAGGGACCCCAGCATACTTCCAGGCTTGGTAACTCAATGGTCCCCTCTCCTGGCACCAAGGGATTCACTCTGTTCTTTTCAGGATGGAACTTCTGTGTGTTTTCTCTGTGTGGCTGCATTTCCTCTTCCTCCCCTGACAGCCCTGGGTCTTCGAAGACTTCTGAAACCAGCCTTGCACTTCTGGTCCTCTTGCCTTTAGGAGCCTTATTTTTGCTGGTGGATTCTGAAATCTGCCACTTCAGGACCACTTCCCGCACGTTTTGTACTTTATCTAGCAACCCCACCCCTACCCCTCACCAAACATAACTCCGGCTTCATCTCGGCCCTGCTCATAAGAGCTTCTTTTCAGCACTTGTACTTCAGAGTGACCCTTCTCCATCAGGGAAGGTACTTTTTCTGGAACTGAGGTCTGCTGCTGCTTGGCCCTCCTCAGAACTCCCTGCCAAGCCCCCATGTTGCCTCCATGTGACTCTGCCTGTTGTCTGTTGCATTCGACAGACTTACAAGTATCTAAGTTTATGGATTTTTTTTCAGCCTCCTAGTTTTACGGAAGATGGATTCTTTCTGGTGTTTGTTTTCAGTTCTCCTTATTTCTCTATATGGTATCCAGAAAGGAAAAGAAGAAAATTCTGATAAATGCAATGGCCGTGTTAAATTTGATGCAAGTGTTTTAATGCCTTTCTTTTTCTACCCAGTTAAACTCAGAAACAGACATAAAAACGATAGAAGCAATCTTTCATCACACTTCAATCAGTTTTAAACCTTCTTATATGATTTTCTGCTCTGAAGGTTTATAAATTTCCTATAACTATTTTGTTAAACACTCTTCTGTGCTGTAATTCCCATAATCACCTAGATATGCTCAAAGCTTCCACTGCTCTCAAGGGCTTTATAATTGAAGCTCAAAGATTTAGTAGTTTTTTCAGAACTCTCTGGGGCTGGGCATAATTCTAATGGTAACAACCATCATTGGTCTTTCACTTTAAAACTCATCCAATAGATTACAAAATGACCATTTTATACTTTTCAGCTTTGGGAGGGACGAGACAGAGAAGGCTGATTTTTGCAATTACAGTAATGCAAAGACCTAAAAACTGTACTGTAAGTGTATTGCCTCACATCTTCAGTATCTTCCCCTGCAGAAGGAAGCCATATGTGGATATAATATGTATTCACTTTTATATTTCCACCTCTAGGCGTTTCATTTATTCCCCATCTAATTTCTTAGTCTGCTCTTTCTAAAATGCTTCTGCAATCTATTTTGTATAGTAGTCATTATTTTTTCAGGAAAACTAATATTGTTTCCTGTCATTTTGGTTTCAGCTTTATCTTCTAGAGGCATTAGAAATTGTCACAGGTGTGCATGTGTGTGTATCTAATAAGAAGTTTTGTACAATATAAAAACCTAAACATATATAAACTACTTTGTTTGAGTCCTCTAATTCTAATCTGACTTTCCTTTTCATCTGTGAACCAATCTCTAGGCATGTGAAAGGATAGGACTGAGTTTTACACCAGTTCCTTTATTTTGAGTATATTGAATATGTGAGCCTGGTGCTAAATGAAGCATAATCACACTTTTTCACTTGGCTCAACTTGAGTCAAAAGCAGGTGGTTCAACATGGTGTCCTTACAGCTTCTATCTTATTTAATTGCACCTTTGATAAGGAACATACAACTGTGTAGTACTATTTTTTTAAAAAAAAAAAGATGTTTCTGGGGTTTTCCCTTACAAGGCTTGCTGCTATGGTCTGATTGTGCCCCTCCAAAATTCATTCGCATTGAAAACCTTGGGCATGGAAGGTTGGCATTCAACTTGGGCATTGAAAACCTATTGCACAACTTATTGGTGTTAGGAGGTAGGGTCTTTGGGAGGTGATTACCTCACAATGGTAGAATTGTCATGAATGGGATGAGTGCCCTTATGAAAGAGGCCCCACAGAGTCCCCTAACCCCTTCTGCCATGTGAGGATACGATCAGGAGTCTGTAGCCTGGAAGAAGACCCTCACCTGACCATGCTGGCACCCTGGTCCCTGACTTGCAGCCTCTAGAACTGTGAGAAATAAATTGCTGTTGTTGTAAGCTCCTTAGTCCGTGACACTTTGTTATAGCAGCTCACATGGGCCAAGACGAGGTCATCAGTTTAAAAATGTAGCATGGAAATCCATAAGAGCCTGATGATGTGTATTCATCATCTTTCCAAACGCACTCTCAAATCCCACATCATTTGGAGTTAGGAAGATTTTCCTTTTTGCTCATCTCTCTGCTTTTGGATTCTCTTAAATCTTTCAGTGAAGGTATTTTCTACACTGGCATGTAGGGTGTATCAGGCCATATTAAGTTCCTTTCTGTTAGGTGGCCTAGAATCTTACAAGAAAACTCACATCTCTTCAAATATGTTCGTCCTTTACAAATGAGAAGGATCCATATTTTTAGTAGCAAGGTCATGCTGCTGAGTAATGAATAACACGATAATTTACAAAAACTATTTCTTCACAACTATTAGTATTATCTGTGCTATAATACTTATCTTTGGCTAACATCTCTGTGATGAGTCTACTCATCCATTGTAATGCTACACTTGGCTCATTTTGTTAGGCTACAGAGGTCATGTGTTCATCCATGCAGGGTTATATGCCTTGTCTATATGAGTCCTGTGGCAGGTGCTAATGATAGTTGATCTATACCTAGGAATAGCATATACTTCACTGTAAGCACGCTATTGGGAAGAGGAGGGAGTGAGATACAGCCCAAATTACTCCATCCTTTAAAGACTTTGTAGTCTTATTAAGGACACACAGTGCACACACTGGGAAGGTCTCAAAAAGTTTAAAGTACCGTGAAGATGAGAACAGACAAAGGAACACTCATACAAATAAAGGCCAAGAAGAACCTACATGCCATATAGAATATAAACAAAAAATGTGAAGTCATGTGGCATATGTCTCGGTCCTCAATGTACAAGACATTAATATAAATGTGGATAAATACCTGCCTTTTTCAGGTGTGTATTTCTTCACCTTCAGCATGATGAAGCACGAGGATGTTGAAGAAGTATATGTGTACCTCATGCACAATGGCAATACAGTCTTCAGCATGTACAGGTGGGTGGTCGTCTCTATCACAGTCTCATCCATGCCACCACTGCTTGCTCAAAGGCTGGCAAGTGCCAGGGAGTGTATAGGAATCAACAGAGCCTGACATGAGCCTTGTGACTACTGAGAGTTCCTATATACCAACATATGGCCCAATTATAATTACTATTTGGGAAGAAATAAATCTTATAAACCTGAGGATAAGAGGTTGATAAGAGGCCTTGAGCTAATTACTAACAATACTCCCCATAACTAATCATTTGTATTCTTTTCTTAACTCATAATTTCTTTTCTTCTTTCTCAGCCCTTTCCTCTGTTTTCCCATCCTCCCACCCCTTTTGCCAGAGTTTAGCCCTATTGATGGTCTTCTCCACCATCTTCCTTAGCTGGCAGAGTAGGCCCCTCTCTTTTGGCTGTGCTACCACTCTGATATTTATCCTAGAGTTCCTTGTAAAAAAATTACTTTTTTTTCAAAAAGTTTATTTATTTATTTTGAGAAAGAGATTGTGTGTGCACACAGGTGGGTAGGGGTCAAGAGAAAGAGGGAGGGAGAGAATCTCAAACAGGCTCCACACTGTCAGTGCGGAGCCTGTTGTGTGGCTCAATTTCAGGAACTGTGAAATCATGACCTGAGCTGAAATCAAGAGTCCAATACCTAACCGACTGAGTCACCCAGGCATCCCTAAAAAAAGTACTATTTTTAACATTTATTCATTTTTGAGAGACAGAGTGCCAATAGGGGAGGAGCAGAGAGAGCGGGAGGCACAGAATCTGAAGCAGGCTCCAGGCTCTGAGCTGTCAGCACAGAGCCCAATATGGGGCTCAAACCCACGAACCAGGAGATCGTGACCTGAGCCAAAGTCAGTTGCTTGACCAACTGAGCCACCCAGGCGCCCCTAAAAAAATTACTTTTAAAAAGAAATATTACAACTTCTTCTGATATAAGCTTAGTGTGGGGGAAAGAGGCAGAGAACCAACATCTTTCCCATAACTAAGTGGGTGGTGAGTTATCTATCAAAAACACTGTGGTTACTATCTAACCTCTGTCATTTTTGAAAACTTGGGAGGAATGCCATTTCTTCAGGAGCCTGGCCTCTGGTGCAAAGATGTCTTTGAAAAACCAAAAGAGAGAAAGACGAGTAGGTGAAATTACTGCAAAATAGAGACCCAGAATATGCTAGCTCACACAATGCAGAGCTCTGTGTGGCTTGACCAGATCTAGGATGGGAAAGGACAAGGCAGACAAGGTACAGGAGGGATTTCGTGGCTGTTGGGAGGGAGGTGCTCCATCTGGGTTTTCAGGGACACAGAGTGGTGAGAGCAGTTCGCCTGTAAAACTGACTTTCAAATTCTCGTTGGTCATGGTCATTGCCACAGTCAGAAGGAGAAAAGAGCAACAGGCTTGTGAAAATTTTTACGCATCATATATTCTATTCAGAGAACAGAGACACATACTTCCCCATCCCTAACTCCCCCCAACCAATGCAAGGATGGCAAGGAAACATAGAACTCCTCCTCTGGAAGCAGGGAAATGGAGTCTGGTGAACAGCTAGGCTTCTCTGCCCCTCTGGCAGAGAATTCAATAGAATTCTTCCTACATTTAGAATATATATCTTCCCACCTCCATCCCCAAGGAAGACAGCCTAAACTGTAGTTCATGCAACCGACTCCAAGCCCTGAGTCTTAGGAATGAACAATTCTTTTCATCACATAAGTCTCTTGGCTATTGTTTGTTTGTTTGTTTGTTTTAATGTTTATTTATTTTCAGAGAGACAGAGAGTGCAGGTGCATGGGCTCGAGAGCTTGTGCTCATGGGAGAATGGCAGAGAGGGTGGGAGAGAGAGAATCCCAAGCAGGCTCCACACTAGCAAGGAACCCCATGCAGGGCTTGATCTCTCACCCTGAGATCCTGACATAAGCCAAGATCAAGAGTTTGACACTTAAACAACCGAGCTACTCAGACGTCCCTTGGCTGTTTTCTCTTCGGTCCCTGATTCTGTCCTCTGGGAGGATCTTCCTTATTTATTTGTCTCCATGGCTACATCTAAAAGATGAATAGATTTTCCCTGGGGTCTTTCACAGCCCAATTCCTGCCGGTGCAAATTTGAGGGCTAAGAGTATTTAGTCAAACACCCCAAGCCCTTTGTAAGCCAGGTTTGAGTAATATCATTTCCTCAGACACTTAGCAGCCTTTTGTGCTATTTGCTGCCAGTCAGTTACATGTGTTGGTAAACAATACCCAACATTCTTTTCTTGACAGATAGTTTTTCCGTCTGTTATTTCCTTGACTCCTTATCTTCATGCCTTTCTGTCTTGACTAGTGGTGGCTACCACAAGGCCTTCTAAAACAATAGATTTGGGTAGAAAGGCAATATTTTTAATCCATTAGGTTATGTCACAGGCTGTGTCTATCAGATTAAATGAGAGATCTTAATAGGAAACATCAATTTTACCTCTGCTCTTTCTGGTATAAAAGCACTTGGCTTTTCCAACCCTGTTAGGCCTCAACTTTCTAGACTCACCCTTTCTGCTTCCTGTGCTTCAAACATGTCAGTTCTCATCTTTTGTAGAAACATCTCACTAAAAGCAGCAAAGAGAATTTTGGCTTTTCCAGTCACTTCCTTTCTTAGTGTATAGGCTTGATAGACATAAGGTCTGTCTTCCATGTTATCAGATGTTTTCCTAAATGTTTTGCCACAGCACAACATGGATCTACAGTTTTCAAGCCCACAATATTTGTTTCCTCAGTGCTCTCTGCCTGACCATGAGCAAACACAGCATATTTTAGTTTATATTTTAGTTTAATTTAGTTTATAACAGAATGCTCCTTCAGTACCAATAAGTTAGGGTAGACTAAGCTGCTGCAACATTAACCCAATGGCTTAAACATAATAGAAATCCCTTTTCTTCTCATTGAACAGTCCAGAGTGGTTGTTCCAGGTCAGGGCAAATGAGAAAGAGTTTGCCTCTACCTAGTCTTCAAGAACTCAGGCTACAATACTTTGCTTCCAAGGTCATTCTGGTCATTGTCATTAGCATTCCACACAGTCATAATGAGGAAGAGGCAAGGAGAGGTGTTTGTGAGAATTGTATCGGCCAATCCTTTTAGTGGTACATGTCATTTCTGTTCACATGCCATTTAGAGAACTTAGTCACAGGACGTCAAATGCATGAGAGTCTGGGGGAGAAGGGGAGGACATATTTTGGTAAACAGGTGGCTATCTACTGCAAAGACTAAATGGCTGGTGCCTTTTTTTTCCTTACAGCTATGAAACAAAGGGGAAATCGGACACATCCAGCAACCATGCAGTACTGAAGCTGGCCAAAGGGGATGAGGTTTGGCTGAGAATGGGCAATGGCGCTCTTCATGGGGACCATCAGCGCTTCTCTACCTTTGCAGGCTTCCTGCTCTTTGAAACCAAATAAATACATGAATAGACCAGCTCTACTTTTGGGAAGACTTATGGCTAAGCTGGTATTGGTATGAGCTGAAGGACATTAGAGTTGAGGGTTCTACTCAGGAGCTCAGAAGAAGAATCCACAAAATTGTCTTCCCAAGTGACCTTGACTAATATACTCAGCACCTTTACTCTTCCCTAGGCACCTAAAAAAAAATTCCCTTCTTGATACAGGTTGGAAATAATTTTCCTCATCAAAGAATTCATTTGCAAAGAATTTGGCTACTCCGTTTTTAAAAATTTTTTTTTTTCAACGTTTATTTATTTTTGGGACAGAGAGAGACAGAGCATGAACGGGGGAGGGGCAGAGAGAGAGGAAGACACAGAATCGGAAACAGGCTCCAGGCTCTGAGCCATCAGCCCAGAGCCTGACGCGGGGCTCGAACTCACGGACCGCGAGATCGTGACCTGGCTGAAGTCGGACGCTTAACCGACTGCGCCACCCAGGCGCCCCAACCGTTTTTAATTTAATGGCAACTTTCGGGAATTCCTGAGGTTTGAGGCTCATCATTCTTTATAACGTTTCAAGGAATAGGGTGCAGTGATTATGATGGAGCCAGCAGGAGCAAGGGCACTTGCCAGGACCAAGTTACCAGAAACATTTGTAAAGCCTAGACTGGGAAGTAACACTTTGATCCAGTGGGTCAATTTTTATGAATGAAGTATAGATATTTTTAGTAACTCTAGATAGCTTTTAGATAGGAAAAGTATTCATAACGCCCATAAATAATGGACTCCTCCTTTTTTATAAGGATACTGCTGTAATTAAATCTGGATTTGTAATGGCTTGTATTTTTGGATATAAAATTTTCTCATGATCCAAAATTGAGTTTATCAGGTCTGACTTATTATATTGACTTTTTTTCCATTGAGTTTCTTAGATTAAAATAGATCTTTGTTGGTTCTGGCCTGCAGAACCAGTTGAGGTGAGCTTAGATCCACATATACAGATATATGTGAAGTTCTCCCTCAGTTTAGAAATTGCCCCAATAAACTTTACACACACTGACATGTCATTTCAAGGAAATGTAAACTCAGTTATATACAGTCAAACTAATGGATGCAAAATACAAGGGCATTCCATTTAGAAGACATAAAATAAAATCTCTTAACCTTTTCAAAAATAAAAAATGATATGACTTCTTTGATTACCATATTTAAGCAACATTTATAAAGCAGCTGTGCTCCTTGACTTTTGCCTATCCCTCCCCAAAAGGGATAAGTTCAGAAGATAGTACCCCAAACTGGTTTCTTTTAAGCAAAGAAAGTATCATTGGAATATGTGTTTACCCTGAGGTCAAATCACATTTAAAAGGCACTAGAGAGATGCCTTTCTGACAAATATCACTTAATGAATTCCCTTGGAAGCAATTAGCCCTTGACTAATTTTCTGTAACAATTTGAATTTCCACAAAAGCTTTTAAACTGTGGGTTTAATTGTATTGATTACCCCCTACAGCTGGAAGCAGAGAGAATTAAGTAGGGCTGCCCTATTAACTAACTTAGTGGGCTCCTTGCTCCGTTCTTTGACCCTTTCTTTTGATCTATAAAAATTTTTAAACTCTTTTCCTGACCAATACAAGCAATGCTATTTTAAAGTGACTGGATATTAGCCAAAATGTGCTTGACTGGTTGATAATGTCTTCATGATTTTGTGTGTATGTTCCCTGCCATCCCTGGAGCTGTGGGTATTGAGGTTTACTATTTCTAAACATCATAAATATTTTGTAAAAGTGTATTGCCAATAGATATTTGAATTTTGCATGTTGCCCAAAGAGATTTCATTTCTAAAGAACACATACCATTAACAAACTGCCTTAGAAGAAGATATTGGCTTAGCTTTAGATACAACTAAGGCAAGAAAAATGTAAAAGCATTGTGTGGAAACAAACATACTTTTGTTAAATGTACTGTTTTATAAGGTCCTTAATAAAGTTGAATAGCCATTTGATTGTAAATCATCATGGTTTGTTAACACAAAGCTAAAATATTTTCATGCAGATGATGTAAACAGCCATACATCAATGATACGGGCACAGAACTTATTTATCTACAAAATACTCCACGTTTCAGTTATTCCATTGTTCTGACTTCAACCCTCTGCAACTTTATGATATTGATGTTTGGAGGTCCTTTAATGAAATCTGAATATCTCTAAGGGGACAGGATCTTTATCACATACATGAGGTCTTACTATGTTGATGTAAATTCTAATTTTTTTCTTAGTAGAGACTCCCAGTTGCATTGCAGTCAGGTGGAAAGGACTTAATTCAGTCTTGCAAATAGGTCCCAGGTGGAAAAAAGAGTGATTTTTTTTTTTTCAACGTTTATTTATTTTTGGGACAGAGAGAGATAGAGCATGAACGGGGGAGGGGCAGAGAGAGAGGGAGACACAGAATCGGAAACAGGCTCCAGGCTCTGAGCCATCAGCCCAGAGCCCGACGCGGGGCTCGAACTCACGGACCGCGAGATCGTGACCTGGCTGAAGTCGGACGCTTAACCGACTGCGCCACCCAGGCGCCCCAAGAGTGATTTTTTAAGGAATGTGGGGGAAGGCCAAGATGGACTGTTTTGCAATTTACCCATGACCAGAATTATATCTGGAAGATTGATTTTACAAGTCTTCATTAAACTGAAGCCCTAAAAAGGCGATGGTAGGTAGGTATTGTCTAAGTAACCAACTTTAAAAAAAAAATCCCGATTACCTTTTTCACCGTTCTATACCACCCTCCACCATCTCCCCTCTGCAAATCACTAGTTTGTTTTCTGAATTTGTCTCTGGTCTGTTTTGTTTGTTCATTTGCTTTGTTTTTTACATTCTACATCTAAGTGAATTATTTATCTTTATCTGTCTGAGTTATTTCACTTAGCATGGTACCTTCTAGGTCCATCCATGTTGTCTCAAATGGCAAAATTTCATCCTTTTCTTAGGGCTGAGTAATATTCCATAGTATATGTACCACATCTTCTCTATCCATTCATCCATTGATGGGAACTTGGGTTGCTTTCATATCTTGGCTATAGTAAATAATGCTTCAATAAACATAGGGGTGCATATGTATTTTCAAATTAGTGTTTTTGTTTTTGGTAAATGCCTAGTAGTAGAATTACTGGATCATATGGTAATTTGATTATATTTTTTAAAAAATTTTTTGAGGAACGTCCATACTGTTTTTCCCAGTGGCTGCACCAATATACATTCCTACCAACTGTTACGAGGATTCTTTTCTCTCCACATATTTGCCAACATTTGTTATTTCTTTTCTTTTCTTTTCTTCTCTTTCCTTTCCTTTCCCTTTCTTTCTTTCTTTCTCTTTCTTTCTTTCTTTCTTTCTTTCTTTCTTTCTTTCTTTCTTTCTTTCTTTCTTCTTTCTTTCTTTCATTCCAGCAATTCTGACAGGTGTAAGGTGATACCTTATTGCAGTTTTGATTTGCATTTCCCCAAGAATTAGTAATGTTGAGCAGCTTTTCATGTGTCTGTTGGACACCTGGATGTCTTTTTGGAAAAATGCCTGTTTAGGTTCTCTGCCCAGTTTTAGTTGGATTATAGGTTTTTTGATGTTTAATTGTATAAGTTCTTTATATATTTTGGATATTAACCCCTTAGTGGGTGTATAGTTTGCAAATATCTTCTCCCATTCAGTAGGTTGCCTTTTTGCTTTGTTGATGGTTTCCTTCACTGTGCAAAAATAGCAACATTTTAAAAGAAACACATTCTTTCATTAGCTATTTGGTATCCTGAAATACTGTTCATATGGAAAACAAGATACATACTTGATTTTTATCACTTTTATTTACCAATTTTTAGAATAATGAGTTAGTGCCCTAGAAATCTTTAAAGATAATTAATAAGGTCTCTTAAAAAGCATTATTATTAACTTATGATTTTTCATATATTTAATGTGCTTCAATCCACCATAGTCATTATTATAACTTAATGACCCCATCTCAATTGTCAGTGGAAGGTCCTTCAAGTTAGTGCCTCTATCTATTTTTTTCAATGTTTATTTATTTTTGACAGAGAGAGGGAGAGAGAGAGAGAGAGAGAGAGGCAGCACATGAGTGGGGGAGGGGCAGAGAGAGAGGGAGTCACAGAATCCGAAGCAGGCTCCAGGCTCTGAGCTGTCAGCACAGAACCTGACGCAGGGCTCGAAATCACAGACCGGGAGATCGTGACCTGAGCTGAAGTAGGACGCTTAACCGACTGAGCATCCAAGCACCCCTCTATCTATTCTTTTGACCCAGAATCAGGCTGGGTCTCTCCCAGCAGAGCAGCAGTGAGTGGAAACCGTGTAGACTTGTATCCCAACCAGACTTTCATGCTGTGACCTTGAATGTGACTCCAGTGGCCCAGGTCCTGCCAATTACCTAAATTCAAGTAGCAATAAGCTACTTGATACCCTTGTAATGAACTCTGTTGTATTTAAGCCAAGAATCCAATTGATCTAAGAGAAAGAAGCAGAAATAGGGAGGCAAGTTAGGATAAGCTGGAGTACAAAAGCAAGTTCAGAAAAGTGATTGCAATGTAACATCATTTATGTAATATAAAACTACAAAATATAATAATATAAATAAAAGGTAGTATATAAGTAGTATAGCTATAGCATCGATAGACTGTGGATACTATATGTCAAAATCATGGGAGTGCTTGTGTCTTGAATGGTGGAGTGAGCAGAAGCAAAGACATGTACCTTTGGGTGGGAGTGGGTGGGTATAGGAGACTTTAACTATGGAAGGAGTTCAAAGCAGCTGGCCTGTGATCTATGTACTCCCTTTAGTACATGGATCCTTCAGGAAGCTGAAGAAAAAGGCAGCTTTTGTCAAAGGAAAAGGTATTCTTTGTCAATTGTACCTGTTGTACCTATTTACCTTGGGTAAGTAGATGAATGATATTTGTTACAAGGAAGAGAATTTATCTATTTAATGCATTTAACAGGCTGGCTCTGGCTATAGGATTACTTTTGCCAAATAAACTCAGAATCCAGGAAGCGCAGTTCCATAGCTAAGTAACATCCTGGGATACAAAATGAAGTCTGTTAGGTACCTGAGAACCTTATTAGAGATCTCAACTATAATCGTGAGTCAGAGGGTATATTAGTTTGCTAGGGCTATAACAAAATATCATAACTCCCCACTCCAACCTTCTTTTTTTTTTAATGTTTATTATTTATTTTTTGAGAGAGAGAGAGAGATTGGTTGTGAGTAGGGGAGAGGCAGAGAGAGATGAAAACACAGAATCTGAAGCAGGTTCCAGGCTCTGAGCTATCAGCACACAGTCCGACATGGGGCTCAAACCCATGAACTATGAGATCATGACATGAGCTGAAGTCGGATACTTGACTGAATGACTCAGGTGCCACACCCTCCCCCAACCTTCTTAATAGTTTTATTAGTCTGCTCAGGCTGCCATAATAAGGCATTAGAGGCTGGGTAGCTTAAACAACAGAAAAACATTTTTTCACAGTTCTGGAGGCTAAAAGTACAAGATCAAGGTATCTTCAAGTTTGGTGTCTTCTGAGGCCTTTCTCCTTGGCTTGCAGATAGACAGCCACCTTCTGCTGTGTCCTCACATGGTCATCCCTCAGTCCTTGCTTTCTGTGTCCTAATCTTTTCTTGTAAAGACACCAGCCATATTAATTAGGACCAATCCATATGACTTCATTTTATTTTAATTACCTCTTTCTAAGCTCTGTCTCCAAATACAGTCACATTCTGAGGTACTGGGAGTTAGGACTTCAATATATGAATGTTGATGGGACTTAATTCAGCCTCTAACAGGGGATATGTGTCCAATGTAAGAAGGAAGAGTCATGTAAGATTTTCCAGACTTCTGATTTGGCTGAGCTTTTCCATGACCTTTATCTTTGAGCTTATTACTTGATGCTGGGCAATATCTCTGATTCATGTGAATTTGATCCTGGCTGTTAGCTTAAGCTATTTCTGTACTGTTTATTTTTTATAACAATAGATTGTAAGCAAATACGAAAAAATATTGTGTCAATCTGTATGTCTTCTGTAACATTCTTTGCAATTTACTGTCTTTTCAAGTTTTTTAAAATAGAAATAAAACAAGAGGGTAAGGAAGCTGATGTCTGAACAAAGGTAGTAACATAGGCTAGACAAGAACAAGGAAGTGTTGTATTAATTAAACAAGGAGGCTATTAGACTGATGTGGTTCTAATGCCCTGGCAACCTACTAAGCAAACCAAATTCTAACCCTGTAAATGCCTCAGTTAATGAAATTGAAACTAAGAACAACCCATCACAAACAGCCAAGTAGACTTTAATCTATTTAGAGCTAATCAATGATTTATTTGTTTTTGTGTATATAAGCCTCTTCCCAACTCCTGGGGGTAGAATGCTCCTAACCACCTCCTTGTTGGTGCTGCTTGGTTAGACTAGATTTTGCTGGGAAAGAAAGAAAGGAACGAAGGAAGGAAGGAAGGAAGGAAGGAAGGAAGG